GAACAAGGCTAGCGGTAAAACTGCGTATCTGTATTATTTTAAAAAATCAGATTTCATTTGTATCATTTCAGTAATTAGACCAAGCTTAACAGAAAACAACTTAATAATGTTTGACACTTCTGTAACTTCTACCATCCCCAAAATGTCTTGTAAAAAAAAAACCAAAACAACCCTGGGGGATCCACTTTATACATCAGTTAGCTGAGACCACCTCTCAAACAAAATGCAACAGCTGTTTAACTACACCATGCAACACCACAGAGTAGGTTAACAGACATCAATATACTATTCAGTTGAAACTGTAGGAACTCTGTAAGCAGGGTGCTGTTATCTGAACTGGAATTTGACCAGGATGTGAAAGTTTACTTACTGGTTTTTACAAAACAGTTGTTGTATGCTGATCAAGAAAGAGGATGTTTCCAAGGAGCAGTATCATTAATGGCCTCCATTCATTGGTAAAGCCAGAGCTGTAAGAGCAAAACTGCCCCAGGACAGAAAATCTCCAGGTTTCCAATCTGCAAGGTAACTGCCTTCAGGCAATTGTTAAGAGGACAGCCACAGCTGCAGAAGAAATTGCACTCATTTTGAACTGGGCTAAAATTTTCTAGGTTGAGACAGAATAAACGTAATTCAAGAATTTGCAGTGAGACTTCAGCATTTTATTTTCTTGGGCAGCTGAGCTTCTCCTGGAATATCTTATCCAGAGTCAAGTCCCTAACATAAGTGATAGCTACTGAATCCGAATTATCCTATGTTGGACTGTCTTCACTGAGGAAAAAATGGGGCAGAGGCAGAAAGGGAAAGAAGTTTGTTTCTTTTAGTTGGAACAATATCATATTATATGTATTAGAGGGTTAAAATAATCTTATGTTCCTACCTGTATAACTTCACCGCGAAGGCATGTAAAAACTACAAACTACCTTGCTCGTATTAGGATTTTATCACATTAAGGTATTCTGTATCACCTAAAGTAACTGTTTTCTTTAGAGCAAAACAGATGCATTTCCTCAAATATATTAATGCCCAGGTTTACTTAATGTGACCAAGTCACGCTGATATGCAGAATTAAACACTTGAAAACAAACCATTTATTGAAAAAGTCAATTTGATATTATAAAGAAAAGTAAAAAAAGCTGTCAGTTATTGTTTTCTTTTGACTGTAAAAGTATTTCAATTAAAATTTTTGCTTCTTTTAGTTTATATATTTTCATATTTTATGGGTTTTGTGATGTTGAAGGTTATCAGTCCATTTCACCTTACTAAAATACTGGGGAAAAAAATCATTAAAACTTTTCAGTGAATCTAAATAAAACCCAGTATTTTCATTCTACTGGAAGTTTTGCGATGTCTGTTGTTTGCTCTGATTCAGAAATTTTTAAATGTTAAAACATTGGACCTTGCTGCAGAATGAAATTTCTAAGTAGATCTAATGTTAAATATGAGCCTGAATTTTAGGCAAGTTTCAATCATCTATTAATGTCACTTGAATGAACAAGTGCTTTTACCTGTCAAGACAGACTCTACTCCATTGTCTGTACAATTAATTTACCAAAAGTTAACTGCTTGCCAATCATAAGTGATTTACGAATCCGTTTACCTCACAGTGACTGACCTTCAATTAATAGAAGATAAAAAAAAAAAAAAATCTATTTTATTTCTTTCCCCAAAGAGTTTCATAGAGGCCTTATTTCCAAGTACAGATCCTATCCAGACCTGCGTATTTTACAAAATTGTCTGATACCGCAACTCAATGGCTTCAAAATTCTACAATATATAAGTATCTTGCAGGTATCCTGCTATAGTGTCAATTTTCCTCACTCACCATTTGTTACATAGAAAGTGGCTAGCTACAGCAACCCTTGCGCTTGACCTCTGTCGCAAATGTCTGCAAATTACTCCAACTGCTTATAAAAGTAACTTAGGGAACTTGTTACGGTCTAAACCCACTAGCACTCATTTATGAATTAAATTTCACTAACTAGTTTCTAGACTTGAATAACTTGTATGCTGCGTGTCTTACGCTGAAACAAGAAGCCAAGGAGATGGGGGAAGGGAGCAGAGAGTGATGTGCATTTAAAAACAGCTGTATAGACTACTTTTTTTTTTTTTAAGGACATCCTTTGTTCAGTATGTGATTCTTTGTAACTGTCACATGATAGAACCTAATTATTTAGATAGGAAATCGACTCCATGGCTATTTGGTCCCTGCTGAATGGGGAACGGGGCCTTCTTTTGCTTTCCTGTAAATTCTGACCTTTTTTTTTTTGGTCCCTTTAAAATCCACCTATCACTTCTACTTTTTAACATTTCACACCCTCTGTCACTGGAAATGGGGCCACATTCTTTCCCAGTGAATAACACCAGCAACAAAAGAAACTTAAATTTAGAAAGCTGCAGGCAGCTAAGGACCACCTTATGGTTTCAGAGACATAAAACAACAGTCACTCCTTGTAACAGGACAGTCTACAGTTTCTGATTTATTTGAGGACTAGGTAAAAATTAGTTAGCTTGGACCTGCCAAATTCATGCGATTTCCAAGTCCAGAGAACGAGGGAGTCACATCTTAAGACAAGCTCCACTCCACCCTGCCCTAGCTCATGATACTCAGATTGGTATCTGTAACCAGATTTAGCTCACACACACAATTCAGGATGGAGGAGAGGTGGTGTAATTTGGACCTGGGCCCATCTGTAATAGACAACTTCTTAAAAAAAAAACCAAACACAAAACAGTTGATACAACCAGCAGGAAAACATGATTAAGCTTTCTTCAAATAGATCATCAAACGCTGAACTCTTTCAATTACTCTGTTTACATTACCCAAGACCTGGAAGAACGAACACGCTAACTTAAAAGAACATTGAAACGTGAGTAGTTCATATTTTCTATGTAGTTTTTCAATTTCTGAGCTATGATTTCTTCTTCTGTGCAGTGGTGATGGTTAGGAGAGAACAATGCGTACCTCAAAACCAAGTAAGAATTTTATCTTTACATCAGTGTTTGTTATGAAGTTGCCTATTTTTCACACACAAAAAATAAACCATATATACTACATGGTACTGAAGAGTAGAAAGTGAAAAGGTTAATTACTCAGCAGAAGACCAAATTGCCAATTTTCCCCTCATCCATACACATGTTGGTAATTATTTTCCTCAGCAGCATTATGCAGTTTGTGACTCTGATGACTCTTAAAGGCAAATGTTTTGGGACTCACCTAATTGTTGCTGGTTATACATCTACTTTTCAAATTCAGCAGTGATCAAAGGCACATACAAGTAAATCACTATCTGGATTATGTTTAAACCTATTATTAGGATTGAAATAGAAAACAATACTTCCATAACTGAAGCTTGTTTCATTTACCTGTCAACACTCTACACTGTCAGGTTCACCCCTTTGTGGATGGCAGGTTGTGTCACTCCCAAGTGCGACTGCAGCCACTGTCACATATATGTTCTTCCCTGGGCTCAGCAAGAAGACATGTACTAACCATGGCAGCATCAAAACAGCAGGCAGGACATATGCATGCAGAAACAAAAGCTCCTGATATATTTTGATGTAGCTCTCCAGTTGACCTGGAACTCTCCTTCATATGTAAACAGGGGGCAAAAGAAATACACAACAATCTCCTTTTTAACTTTGAACTTTAATAGTATGCTCTGTTTTTTAAAAATCTTCTTGCAAGTTTGTTCAGCTAGTTTTAGAAAAGATTATTTTTGTAGCTTCCAAATATGCAAAGCCAAAATCGAATTCGAAAGGAGCCTTTATATTAAGTAAATACGAACTGTAGGTGTAACTAGTTTTAAGCTATATAACAGAACATTTAATCATATTGTTCTCAGCATTTGGCTTCTCCAGTTCAGCTTGAATTTGGCAAAATTGTACTTACTGATGACAAATAATGATGTTTATATATACTATATATAAATATTTATATATACTATTTATATACTCTGCGCTGGGTAAAAAACTGGCTGGACGGCCGGGTCCAGAGAGG